CTGCCTAAAATTCTTCCTTCTGGAATTTATTTCTTCAGTATATACTTCTTAAATTCTTTTCCACTATGGGGTATAACAGACTGTCTAGACTGACTAAAACCTTCATTTATATTTTATTAATGAGGATCCACATGAAGAAGAAGTGTGGTCATCTGAGATTCAATCCATAATCTATAAATACTTAAAGTGATCTCATTTATAAAATTAATTGTGGCCCTACAACTGAAATGATGTAAACAATATTCTATTGATTGTGCACCCATGCTCCCCACTCAAATTATCTTGCTTTTCAATTTAGTCATTGATGAGTAACTCATATTCTTCCATTTCATGATAGAATTAGGAGAATGCTGATGCTAACATTGTAGTGCTGCTTAAAGAGAAATGGAGAAGGAAGGATGTCAAATTAATATAAATAGCTTTCTTATAAAAACCAGTTAATTATATGCTAGCAATTTATAACATTACCAGTATGGCTGTATCTTCCAAAATTTTCTTCTATTCAAAATTAAGCCATGGCTGATATGGAGATAAAATGATATGCTTTTGGGTTATAATTTGTTATAGCAAATTTTGTAATTTTACTATAATGAGAATGTTTTAAGAAAATAGCCTTGAAACTGCATTTAGACACTAGAAATAAGTAAATTATAATCTCATTTACAGTATGCAAGCTAGGCAATTTTGAACTGATAAGATTTTTTCCAGAGAATATGCTGTTGATATTAGTGATGCCACGTGACAGAATGTGCCCCCCCCAGTGAATAGTGGATGGGACTGGTGACAGATATGCTAGCAGTATGGTTGCTACAAAAAAGGACTGTGCTTTAGATATTATGAGAATATCAGGTATAGCAATCCTCTCTCCAATCAATCCAGAATTGTTACTTGAGACACAAATGATCAGTCTCTGTTATCATATTCTGGGTATATAATGTGAAGAGTCTATGATGCTGAGAAAAAAGAAATAAAAAGGATAATCAGTAGCAAGATAGATGAATTTAATTATAGTGGTGCTGGATGTATCATGGGTAAAATCTAAAGGGCCAGGTTGGGAATATATCTTTGAGAAAGTTTATCTATGTGATCGCTAAAAATTGAGATACTAATGGAGGAAGATTTTTGCACCTACAAATGGGATTCTGTAGCACTTTCATCTGCTGCACTCTGAGCTAGATCCCTTGGTAGAACTATGAGGAGGACTGGGGGATATTCTGAGAGGTGGTCTTTTAAACACTTGGGTCTTGAACAATGCTGTGTTTAAAAATGTATACCAACTGGTTCAGCTGGCTTCATTGCACCACTGTGCTACATCACTAGTCACTGTGCTACATTACTAGTGCCAAACTGCTAATCAGAGTGCTGGATGTTATAGTTCTGAAGGCAGGATAAGAAGCAATGGGTGGAAACTAATCAAGCAGAGAAGCAACCTAGAATTAAGGAGAAACTTCCAGACAGTTAGAACAATTAACCAGTGGAACAGCCTGCCTCCAGAAGCAGTAAATGCTCCAACACTGGAAGTTTTTAAGAAGAGACTGGATAGTCATTTGTCCGAAATGGTGTAGGTTTCCTGCCTGAGCAGGGGGTTGGACTAGATGACCTCCAAGGTCCCTTCCAACTTTACTACTATTACTAGTTCTGTTCTGCTTTCAGTTGGCTCACAAAATTCTAACAAATCAATCAGCTCTTGCAAGTCAATACAGTGTAACTAGGCTCCAGGACAACATTTATCCTGGGCTTCATAAACTCACATCAGTTTCTTGAACTAGCCCTAGTAACTCACAAGTAACCTGTGCAGTTCTTTAAGAACCGCAATTAAGTGCAGTTAAGAACTGTAATTAAATGAACAAATGAACATGTGCTTTGCATCAGCTTTTACACAAGTTTATGGGTAGTTCTAGGTAAAGAATAGTGTAGTAATCCAATTGAGAGGTTGTTAAAATATGTTTTACTAGTGAAAAATAGATAAAGAATAAACTGAAACTAGTCAGAGCATTCCTTGTTCCTGAGCCCCCCCCCCCCCGTACTTTGGATGGAATCAAGAAGATCCTCAAACCATTCATACGTCCCTTCAGGTACCATGCTACATTATGTATAATAAGCCAACTTCCAAGAATCATTTATACACAGAAATTCTGACATGTGTGACACGCTTCAGTTTGTTGGCCCTGATATAGTCCAATGGTTAAAACCCACCTCTTCCATAGTAGAGTTTCGGTATGAGATAAATCTTTCCTTTTGGATAAAGGGCACCAGGCTGAATGCCCAAGTAATAAAAAAAGAGGGTGCGATGACTCAGTGGTTAAAGACACTAAGCTTGTCAGCTGGAAAGCTGGCAGCCTGGTTCAAGACTTGAGCATCGTGCAATCGAGTGAGCTCCTGTTCCTTGCTCCAGCTCCTGCCAACCTAGCCATTCAAAAGCAAGCAAAGGCAAGTAGAGAAATAGATATAACTTTGGTTGGAAGATAACAGCATTCTGTGTGCCTCGGTGTACATTCATGCCAGCGACATGACCATGGAATTGTCTTTGGACAATGCTGTCTCTCTCAAGTAGGAAATGATGATAAGCACTGCCCCCTAGAGTCGGACATGATTGGAAAGGGGAACCGTTGCCTTTAATAAATAATAAACTTTACTCTGCAAGCAGATGCTAAGCATTTGCACAGCTTTGCCTGATCTGAGTAAAAAATGAATAGAGCTAAGTATCATTTCTATTCTGAAGACATTACCTTCCACATTTCTGAATGACTGTCTATTTGATCTCTGTGTGGATACTGAACAGCAATGTAAACATTGTAGATCTAAAATAATCTTCCGCTCCCACTTTCTAGTAACTCTCCTAATAAGTTATGGAATTTAAATTAAGCAAAGAGTAGACATAATGTGTCTCCTTTTAAATACAGTTATTATTTCTCCCTTCTGAACTTTCTATTAAAAGTCATTAATGAAATGCATATTGGAGGCTTTTCATTATTTGCTAAGACATGGGTAGGAAGGATAAGGTTAAAAATGGAAGAGCAGTCTAGGTGAAGAAACTGTTTTCTATTTCCATTGTTGATTGATAAAAGAAAGGCACAAAAATTGAAAAGTTTTCTTCAATTATACTAGTAGGTCATTAAAAGAGAGGGAAATGTTTAGGAATTAATTGGAAGGAGAGAAATAGGCAAGGAAAAGAAATTGTATGTATGCCCATGAAAGTTTACAGAGCTTAGAGACCGGCTTATTTGCCACATATATAGTGTATTTTGAGATACTTGAATCTGGTGCAGGAAATGATTACTAGAAATTTACTCACAGTATTGAGACAAATTATGCAGAAATATTTTAAACTGTAGCTAAAATATGTAAATAAGGTCTAGACTCCAGATCTGAGTTGTTATACCTTTTTTTGATACTATTTTAATAGTGAGCTCCCATACAAAAATCAGAAATGATTTGTGATAAAATTTGGTGACCGGGAAATAAACTTTTGTGACTTATAGAATTGTAATTCATGGATAGCATTTGTTTTAGGTATATTTAATTCTTGCAGCTATAATATAATAAGCACATGATACATATAGTTTTATCAATATGTTCTCTAGAATGAACTTCCTATGCCTGTGGTGGCGAACCTATGGCACGCGGGCCACAGGTGGCATGCAGAGCCCACTCTGTGGGCACTTGTGCCATCATCCCAGTCCTAGGCCTTCAGCTGGGTTTTATAAAACCTTTTCGCTTTAGGCCTCCACCGCCGTGTGCAAAAAAAAAAAAAAAAAGGTTCAGTCAATCCATCAATTTTAACTTCTCGCGGGGGAAAAAAAGATCTTGCAAAGTTGGAACTGATTGATTGAACTTTTTAGTCCCACCCAGTCTGCCATTATCACCGCAACTACGCCCACCCAATTGGCCACACCCACCCAATGGGCCATGCCCAACCGCCATCCGATGATACATAAGTGGGTTTTCGGTTGCAGTTTGGGCACTCGGTCTCTAAAAGGTTCGTCATCACTGTCCTATGCTTTGCAGATCGGAAGTGAAATGCACCACAACATTTCATCCCATGTCTATGTGGTATAGTGAGCAAAGTTTTAGTTTAGGACTGGAGAAGCTTAAAGTTTAGGTCCAATCTCAGTTGTGGAAGTTCATTGAAAGACACATTGGTTTAAATAGGTTAGAAACTAATGTAATCACTGAAGAAGCAAAACTTGTCTTCATTATTTACAATCCCTTCCTTTCAATTGCCTCTTCCAGGCTGGTTGGAACTTTTAAAAGTTCTTCCCTCTTAGGAGTTACAGACACTAGCTCTTTGTATCATGTCTCCACTTATAAATAAAAGATAGCCTGTCCAGTTCTATCCATTATTGCATCTTTTTCTTATAAACATCAGTGGGAGACATCCACTTGCATGGATACAGGTGAATACATTCTAATAAAGATCATCACTAAAAAAAAGAATAAAATTGGTCCCTGTCCCAGACAGTGGCAATCTCAAATTCAGCTGTGAAAAATAAATAATCTCAATAATTACAATGACTTTACATAACATGACATGACATAACTTCCTCATGATATCATTGAATAGAAGATTCAAAGAATATACAGTACTAGCAATACTTAGCATATAACTGTTAGTATAAAGTAGCTTATTTTGTGTAATAACATCTTGAAACCCACAACATCATTTCAATGTCATTGTACCTTCTTTTAAAAGCTATTATCAATTTCAGCAGAGTCAGACCTGGTTAATGCTTAGATGGGAGTCCATTAGAAAATGCCACAATTAAAGGCAAGATTGATTTTTGTTTTGTAATGAATGAAAACTGAACCAAAATGGTCCTGCATTCTTTTCATTTGTAATGAAGTTATGCAACCTAATTTTAGTGAGAGTGTTAAAAATGATTTACACTTTTTAGTTCTGTACCTAAAAAAGAAAAGTAAAAGGGCATGGTTATCTTTGGACAGATATATATTTTATCTTTCTTGGTTACCAATTTCTTGTTTTAACTCCCTTTTTGTAGCATATTGGGGCCAGCTGTGACCTTTAAAGTGCACCCAAATGCTCTTGGTATCACCACTGCTGATGTTGTCAGAATAGCAGGTAAGAATCCTTATTTTTGAATGCAACCATTTTCCACCTGTCATTTAAATTAGAAAGACAGTCACGGCAACAAGAAAATTCTTCTTATCAGAAGATTGATGTTTAATGAATAGGCTTTTGAAGAGGTAGTGGTAGCTGAAATAGAACATCTTAAGTGTAACATCTCTCATTCAGATAGAAATGCAAGACATTTCCTTGTTTGTGAAAGAACTGAATGAAATGGAGAGGGAATCTTGGATATAATAGTGAAAGAGAACTCATAATGTTGTATGTGAAGCAAAAAAAAAATCTACTCTTTAATGAATATTTGATCTTGGTGACCTCCAACTTGTATAATTGAATAGCACAGAAGAAAAATGGTTACAATTAAGTTTTTATTTCTGGAGTATAGAGGCTATAACCGTGTTTTTGCTGTCAAATTAACAATTTCCCATGACCTACATATGGTAAGTACTACAAACTGACAACTAAATCTCCTTGAAAAGAGGTACAGCAAAACACTCTAGATTTGATTACAGACATTCTGGAATCTAGTCTTAATTGTAAATTGTTTTCTTAATAAAATCATGCTTGGAATTCTACTTGACTATATTGAGATGGTCTGTGCTTTTTATTGGCTTCTACTGGCATAAATTAATTAGGAGTTCACTGCTGTCTCTTCTCTGGGTTTTAGCTTATAAGGATTAGCATAACTATATTACATTAAACTATCACTCTCTGATCTGGATGCTGTTTTCTTGTTTGTATTTCTAAAGTCCACTGTAATTTGTTTCTGTACACCTACAAAAGAGTAGTCAATATTTTTAGTCTTTCCCTTGATATTTTTGTAGTTCAGGCATCTTCTATTTCTTGTGGCTGCCTCACATGCCTCCATAACAGCCTCTTGGCTATAGAATGAAACTGTCTAAAATAATCAAAATGATATGAACAAAATAACATTATAGCTTACAGAAACTTTATTGGTACTGGATTTTGCCATTGCCAGTTTTTTTGTCGCAATTCTTTCAAAACTCATTTGTTGGGTATGTATGTATGATGGGTCTGTGAAGGCCTTTTCTGCTTCAAAGTTTCAAGAAACAGAAGGAAGTATCTCATCGAATCTTGAGCATCAACATTCGAATGTTAAAGGACAGGCCAGCATAAGTATTTTTCAGACTATATGAAAAAATTGTCTTTCCAGATCCCAGATTTTATGTAGAATGATAAAACTTTGTGCAGAGCCAACATACGACTTGCAAAGCAAACACATGTATATGATGTACAATCCAACAATCCATGCAATATGGGAAAGTTATCTTTGCAGCAGTAAAACAACACTTGTTACTATTATTTGGTACAGAAAAATTAAAAGTCCCATTCTGCAAACGGTGCTGCACCAGTTGAGTAGTCCTCAACTTACGACCGGTTGAGTAGTCCTCGACTTATGACCGGTTGGGGGTTGCGGCATTAAAAAGGTTGAGAACCACTGCTGTAGGGCATGATTAAGGGAAAGTGTCAAGTTGCAATACATACAACTAATCAAGAATCTATTCATTTTTATATGTCTATCACATAAAAAATGTGGAACTTCAGTTGTACTACCACAGCCATTTTTAATATGATTATTATTTTTATTATTAGATTATTTTATCTATTTGTTTTATTTATATATCAGCTCAAAATGACAAACATATCTAATTCTCCTGCCTCCTGTTTTTCCCACAACAACAATATTATGAAGTAGTTTGGGCTGAAAGAGAGTGAGTAGCCCAAAGTCAGTGAGCTAACTTTCATGCCCAAGGTGGGACTAGAACTTACAGTCTCCTGGTTGTATGTTAGTCTCTTCACTGCTATATCATACTGACTCTCTATTTTGACCATACTGTATGGATATTCTTAGTTGGTATGTAAAATTTGTGCAAATCTCTTGAAAAGCCATTGAAATGTGAACTGTGCACAGCAAGGTTCATGGGTGGATTTCTTGCTTAAGAAAAGAGTATTGTGTTTGCTACTGAAAACATTGCAACAGAGTTAAGGGTTAGTATGATTTTGTTTTTTGTATAATTAGTAAACTTAATTAGATTATGTTTAGTATATTTGTATGATCCTGTTCCTAGCTCTGGGAAGTCAGGGGGGAAGGGGGGTGGGGCAAGGATGGGTTGGAATTTTAGTAGTTCAGATAAGTAGAAATAGTTTTTATTGTATATATATTGAGGTTTCAATTTGGAGAGAGGAATTGCTCGGGCACCGGAGTGAGAGGATAGAAGAAGGTGAGAAATAAGTAGGAAGGTGGAGGAGAGGGGGTGAGGGAGGAAGAGAAAGAAGAGGGAAAGAGGCAAGTTGGTTAGAGGGTGGATACGGTTTGGTGGGAAATACCGAAAATGGTGTGTATTAATTTGTCTTATTTTCTTACCTGAAGTATTTTTAAGATTGTATTGTATTGCAAAATTGAAAATAATTTTTTTTAAAAAAAAACATTGCAACAAACAATCTAATGGATTTTCATACTGTACTTGATTGCTAGTAGATAGCCATGTATAAATCCTGACAATTTAACGGATCCATCAAGGCCATTTTTGTAAATGTATGATAGAGGAAAGGCTAAGAAAACATTTTTAATCTTGCCAACATAAGAAATGTCTAAATTCTTAAATACAGAAACTGTTTATGTTATGACATTTGCAAATTTTGCCATAAAAATGGAGAATGACAATAAGAGAAAAATACACTAAACCCTAAATCTATCTTTTTCCAGATATTCCCTGGCTCCAAATTCATTTGTTGTTAATTAGAAATTATGTGTGGAATTGAACTTACCGATATTATGTTGACCACTTGTCTTGCTTAGCCAAGAAAATATTTTCTGGCTTGACAAAGACCCTTGTAATCTAGTTCCAAGATCTTGGAAATCTTCTAAGGTTTTCCTGTCTCCTCTAGAAATTGATTATCAACAATATTGGAAGCACTGCTGTATTTAACATAAAACAACACTATGCGTTCATTAAAAGTTGTGTCACTTATTTTCTTTGGTTCCCCTTTAAGCTGACCTAAACGTAGATAACTATTGTCAATAAGACAAATTTTCTCTCTGTGGGACAGTCCTATAGATCTTGTAGATATATTATTATATGTGCAATTATAGTTTGCATAATTGCTGTGCATATAGCAGTTACATTTGGGAATCTTATCCTTCCATTTAAATTACCTATCTGCAAATTATATTAAATTGAAACACATATCACCTTGGGGTATATCTTCTTCCAAAGATGATATTTTCAAGGAAACAATAAACTTATTAAAACAGCTGTAGTCAATAATGAAAGTTATGTTTTACTTACACTTTATGTAGTTTTTTATCATCCTGAATTAAAATGCTAATTATATAAGGCATTTTCTGTAGTTTTTATCATCCTGAGTTAAAATGTTAATTATATAAGGCCTCCCAATGTACTAAAATACTGAGTTTTACCTTTATCACACCATCTTTATCTACTGTAATGCAAATTTATTTATTATTTATGTAGCTCTCTCACTTCATGTGATTTTGGGAGGCTCACAGAATTAAAACAAAAAACAAACTATCAAGAATTCTACCATTAAAATCAATTAAAACAGTTAAAAATAATTTATAAGTGCCCATTTCAACATAATAGAGCTTTTTAAAGTTAATTGCATGAGCATTGGAAGAATGAAATTCAGCAAATTTTATTTTACTTTTTTTTATACTTAGTCATATTGCAGCTTTTATACCCGTTAGGTATGTGGATGTTTGCCTGATAGCACACATCTTTGAAGAAATAGGATGGAAATAAAAATACTGTAAAGCTTTAAATGATTGAAAATCATGCATTCATAGATGACATGCTAATTCTTATATATATAAGGGGGAGAAAACCCGAATAACCAAAGACTTACATACAAACACCTGTGAAAACCTCAGAAAACACACACACACACACACACACACACACACACACACACACACACACACACACACACACATATATATATATATATATATATATATATATATATATATATATATATATATTCAAAAGATAAAAACGAGCACCAGGAGGTAAAACAATTAAATGTTTAATAAATAAATAACCTAGCTTTCGATGGCTATATTGCTGCCATCATCGTCAGGGTGTTAAAAGCCAGAGGGTGGGGGAGCTCGTTTATAAGCACAAACGCGCCTGCACACGGCTCATAGACCTCGTTATGGGGCCCGGTCGATTGATCTTTTCATCACTCATGTCAGAAGTATTTCTGAGTTCTAAGTTCTTGCAGCTGATTACTTCTCTGTTGCGTGCGGCTCCTAGGCTGGGAGGCGAGCATTCCATGTCACTACGCACTAGAGTAACATGTGTAACTGCAGACCGATCCTGCGAAGAAATCCCAGATCTGGCTATCTTCCTCCCCCGTGTCTGATGTGTCACTCTCAGGGGGCATGCTACCCCATGCGTGCTCCCATCTTCCCCTATAGCCCCCAACCCGCCGCCCTTCCGTGCGTGGGATGCACAGCAGTTCGTTGCGATCTCCGTTCCTGTTAGTTTGGCGTCCGATTCAGCTCTCCCTTCGGAGGAAATTCCAACTGCGGTCTTCGCGCGTGCGCCCTCAAGTTTCCACCGTACTACTTGGGAACGCGTGATGGGACCCTTAATGGGGCGGTTGCAGTCAGTAGGTCGGACGCAATATCGAGGAGAGGGAGGGGGAAGGGGAGGAGTGTTCGGGGCATCCAGGGCACTAGGGGTTGGGTTGCTGTTGTCAACGAATTCTTCATTCATCAATGGGTGCACGCAGGAATTGCTAACAGCCGGGAGCACTCCGGATGGTAGGATCGTTCTTACCTCATTGTCTATTTCTTCGTTGGAACAACTGAGATTGCAAACAGTGGGGTGCTTCCTCCGTCTGGAACAAATGCGTGCCTCTCAAGTTTTCATGACCTGGTGTGCAGGATGTAACTCCACACATCGATTAATAGAGTTACAGTCTGAGAACCAAGCCTCTTTGAGGAG